AAGGGAAGGAGAAGAAACATTCAAACAGAAGCAAAAGACTTTGTCACCACCGAGGCTAAATAAAAGCACTGAAACGATGAGTAATGAAAACAATCCAAAAGCCCTGAAAAGCTTAGTTTCATTCTTCACAAAAACGCCCAGAACCGGAAGCAAAAGTAGTTGTGGCGGCTAAGGAGAAAAGGGCAAAGGAAAGAAAAATACCAGAAGAGGTGAAGTTCTCGGACCCTCGTCGGACGGCAGTTCCTCCTCCATTGAAGCTTGAGTCTGAGGAGTCAGACAAGACCTCCAACTGTTTGACTCTGTGGCAGGTAAGCCATCTGTTCAGTGCCTAAGCCCTAGCTAGCTAGCTAAGTACTACTGTTTGGTCGTTAATTAGGACATTTTGTGGAGAAGAAATTGATGTTTTTGTGAAAAATGAACATGATTTTGAGCGCCCTGTAGTGTAAAAGTTGTTCTGCTTGTTGAAACTGCTCTGTACATGTTAACCTGTTGAATTGAAACCGTATAAAGTTTTTAACTGAAATCCACAAAACCCCGTGACTTGTGTCATGTTGCTTCACTTATTCTTGAATCGGAATTCAGCATCAAGGTTAATCTCTTTTTTTTTTTTTTTCAAAAAAAAAATCAGGGTTAATTAGATATGATATGTACCCAAAAAAATTCAATGTCTCTCTAACTTAGAATTATTAATATAAGACTTTTTTTAATAAAATTTTATTTTACAATTTAAATTTAAAAATTGATAACAGTATAGAAATTTAAATTTTTAATCTTAATTTTAAAATTATCAATATGATTTCAATTTTTAAAATATAATCTCTCACTTTAACTTTGATATTTTAACCTTAAAATCTTATAAAATCTAATTATGACTTTATGAGTAATAATACAAAAGTTCAAATCCTTATATTAAGATTTTTAATCTTAATAACTATTAACTCAAACATATTATTAATAAATAATAATATTATTATTATTATATTATGATATATAAATTCTTTAGGTAAATAATACTATTAATAAAAATGAAAATAAAAAAAAAAAAAGGGAAAAAGTATACTATATATATAAACGCGTGACAGATGGATATCCTGCACGTGACAATCTCTTCATTCTCCCAATATAAACCCGCCACAAACTGGGGAAGCAGACCCCTACAATGGCGACAGCCGGCAACGGGGAAGTTATGGGAAAAGAAGACGCAAAAGAAGGTACCGGAAAGATACTATGGTTATTTCCGAGACTCCGTTTTTCCAATCAAGAACCGAAGAAACCGAATGTTGAGGTTAGAGAGGAAGTGAAACTCCCGAAAAATCCACCGCCAAGGAGCGTTTTTTTTGGCATTCGCCAGACTTCTCTACCTCCGTTGGAGGCGGAGGCGTTGGAGAGCGTCGGAAGGACCTCCAACCCTGCAATTCTTTGGCAGGTATCTTTTCTTTTTTTTCCCCTCTCCAGTTTCTCTTTGGTGCTCCAGAAAGTGGAGAAAAATAAGAAAGAGGGGGGGGGGGTGAAAATGGGAAAAGAACTCCTAGAATTCAGTTAAGGGAGGCTAAAAGTGTTAAATTTTGAAGATTTTTAAAATTGGGTCTAAAATTGTTCATATCACCCTTTGGTTTTGAACAAGCTTTGTTGTTAACATAAGTAACTCTTCTTTCTTAGTGCCTTTTGAAGACATTTGTTTGGTAGCTTAATTGCTTGATAATTGGCAAGGTGAACCGCAAAACAAGTTGTTCTAACTAAAGAATTATTTGAACCATAGCTTTGGGTGTAGAACTATTGTAACTAGCAATCATTTGGTAGATCCTGACATCCTGGAATTAATGGTCTAGTGTAATGGAATTTGTTCTAAAATCTTATTTCTGCTTATGTGTTCATCAGAGTCAAGGCCTTGTTTCGTTATCGTCATGGATGTCATCATAGTGCATATTGTTATAAGATGCGAAGGGTGTCGAGAGTACAGTGCTGCAATCTATGGTATATTTTGTGATTGTTCTCCCAGTTTTAATAAGATTGCTTGACGGACAAAGTTGTGTTATTCTGGTGTAGGGTGAGAAGAGGTAGTTTTTTTGTGCATCTGATATATTTAAACCAACGGAACTTTGATGATTGTTTATGCTTGGTTACGCCTGCAAGGCCAGTTACCTATGTAACTAAGACATTATTGTCAGTTAATGCTAATTCTGGGATGTTAATATAACTTATTTTAATAGATTTTTTTGTCTTTAAAGCTTGGACAATCATGTGCAAATGGCTTTTGCCCATTGTCCCTCACTGTACTCAGCTGTTGGTCATTGTTTCCATCTCATTTGTCTTGTTCTCTTTCCTTAGTTTTCGCTTCTGCTAGTTCTTTGCCTTTAAGCAATAATTTGTGCAGTACTTCTTTATGATAATCTTTTAACAGAAAGGCTTTCAGCTTACTTTCAGATTGCTAGTGATTTATTTCTTCATCATACGGTTGTGGTTGATGGAGAATGCCTTGCATTAAAATGTGAAACAGCTGACATATTCCTTCTGTTTTTGTATTGTATCATTGCTTACTACTGAGCATCCTAGATGAGATAACCTACGAAAATGTTTGTTTTAACTTCAATCTTCTCTCCTCCAGCCATGGTTTGTTTTTGCTGATTGAATTAGAGTATATCTTCTTTCAGGTTTATGTTCTCAGTGGTTTCCTTGTACTAAACTGGGTGTGGACAAGATGGAAGGAGAGAAAGAAGGGTGGAGATGAGAAGGGTTCATCAGATGATGATCACTCTCCAGCTGACGATGATGAGTATTCTCATTTCTCAGATTGAATGAACAACAGTCCTTAGGTCTACAATGTTTCCTACCTGTCTCATCCTTTTCCTTTTTGGTTTCACTAGCGAGGTGAATTGGAAGTTAGTATAGTTTTTATGCATTGAATGCTATCCTCACCTTTGTGTATGTAATGCTTTAACAAATATATTGCTTCTTGGTTTGCAACAAAATGTTTCTGGAATTCTGGCTTTATGCTTTTTTTAGGTAACATCAATATAATTACATAAAAGAGCCTACAAAGGAAGGGATTATCTCCAACTATACAGTCCAAGATGGAGCTCCAAGAGTGCGGATAGAGGAGTGACCACCAAAGGACTAGTGCAAAATAGTTTTGCAGTAGTATACAAAATTGTATAAAACCCCTCTTAGTATACAGATAAATGGGCGGGAGGAAATGCAATAAATAATAGGGTCTCTAGAAACCCATACATAAAGCTAAATTGTACAAAGAATGGATAAATGTCATAAACTCTATTCTAAAAGCATTAAGCATCAGCATTAAGCATCTGATAAATTGTACAAAGATGTGTAGCAGCAGACTTCAGCTCTTGAATGCTATCATTTCTTGCTTCTGTCCGCAAAAATGCCAAAAGCAGATACGGTAGAAAGATCTCATACTCTGTACAAGAAATCCGAGACCTGTCAAAAAGTTAGGGTCAGCGTCCTTATTCCTTGCCTCCGCTGCTTCTGAAAGGACCTGAAATTGTCCAGGAACTCTAAGATATACTTTAAACCCTCCCCTCGCTGAAGAATGTTAAAAAGGTAAGTAGCAAAAACTGCTCAGCTAAAATTCCAAAATTTTCAATCTGAACGGAAATAACTGTCATAAATAGAGAGCTGATCCAACGCATCAAAGTTTGCCTTCAGTCCTACAAATTGGCTACCAAGCTGAGCACACCCAGCATCTGGCCACCGGCAGCCTCCATCCCGTGTCTGTAATGGGCATAAAGTTTCACATACTCGACCAAGAGAACTGTTGGAAGCACCATCTTCTTCCACGAATGTAATTGAAACGGAGAGGTCAGATTTCTCATCACCTTCTACTGCACCATCTGATTCTCTTCTGGAAGGAGACTGCATAAATTTCTGAGATGTATCCGCTGGGTGGCTTTCAACATTAACTGTACAATCACCATTGCTTGCAAAGTGAACCTTGCACCCCAATGATTGTATGGCTCGTTTTATTGCCGCATTTTCCTTGCCAGCCCTCTTTGCCAAGTTCATTGCTGACCTGCTGGCCTGCCTCTCATTTCGTAACTCTGCAGTTACTGAGTCCAGGGCAACTGAGATGTCCTTAACTTTCTTTTCAGCCACTTCTTTGGCCTGTCAGCATTGTTCAACTATTTAAATAAGGCCACTAAAATAATTTTTGCAGCGGAAAATAAACAGAATACCATATTTTCACATGAAAGAAAAATTAAGGTCATAGATAAAGCCCTCTAGTTTTGCTTTTGCATCCCTACTCTCCTCTTCCAAAAAGAAAAAAAGGCTAAGCTTTAGGCTCAACAACTAGCAGGCCAAGTATATATCTGTAGTTTTATCTAAAACCATTGACCATGTTTCCAAGTTAACTAGAGGGAAGGGTTGGTGAATGGTGGCCATAAATTCCAAGATTCAATACCTTCTGTAGTTCAGAAAACTTTAAAGCCATGTTCCTACATTGAACCTGAAGCTCCCCTGCTTGGGATTCAGAAGGGCATGCCCAACGAAGATGGAACTGAGGCCAGAGCATTGGGGCTAAAGCAGCTGCTGGAGGTAACAATGGATCATTATGCTTGGATGGATCATAGAAGAGGTTATAGTGGGCATGGGAGCGTCCCTGTGAAGAACGCATATCAGCTAAATACATCCACAAGCATCCAGAAGCTTCAGAGACTCCACATAGCTCTCTCTCCTTCTCACTGTCCATAGAGATTAGTAATTAGCGAACAAATATGAATATGGAAGGTATAGAGAAGTTTAGGTTTGGAAAAACATGTATTTCCTGAATTATTGCAAGCCTTACCTATTGCACAAGAAATTTCCAAAACGACATGAAAGCACACAATCTAAGAAATCCACCAGAAAATCCTGAATCACCATACAATAGATAAATTACTACCATGGGTAAGAAAAAGTAGATTAAGAAAAGCATGACAGCATGCTGCACATAACAACTAGCTGTTTATGAAAGAGAGATACATACCGAGGAGAATTCAAAGGCAAAGGGATACATCCGTAGCATTTGAGAGACACAATCAACCCACTGCAGTGCAAACCATGTTAGACCAAAGTAGTTAAAAGAAAACATTGAAAAAACTTACCATAACAAGTAACGAGTGATATCTTAACAATGATTCACTATTGGTAGTACCAAGAAAACATTATAACAAGGGGCAAGCATTCTTGATGGAAATAATGAGTTTATAACTGCAAGTTTATACAACAAATTACAATGAAGTCATTGTTGAAGAAAGTTTGAAGAAATATACCTGCAAGAAAATGGGAGAATAATTGTTCTGTGCATGAGAGGAACTAGGAGTCTGAGATGAACCTGGTGTCTGGCGCACGGGTGATGATGACAAACTCCCAGTAGGAGCCTGTCTAGTTAATTCAAATGGCATGTTACCAGTTCCACCAGATACAGTTGGCATTCCCACACGATCTGAAAATGGATGACCAAATGCTAGCCAATCTTTTTCAACAAGAGCCTGCAACAAAATAAAAGTAGTGCAGAAATTAAAAGACTATTTCATCTCTAAAGTTCCTTTCTGCAATGTCACTGGTAAGAACCAAGCATAAAAAATGAAGGCCAAAAGACTTGCTCAATTTACACCTGAAAACCTGCAAATGTCCTATAGTATGGATCGAGCAACAAGTTTGCAAGTGAAACCAACTGAGTTGTTCTATCCCAACCATCACTATAGAAGAAAAGAATATATGCACATGTTAGGAATACAAATATATAGACAAGTAAATCAACAAGCTAAGTATCTTGTTCTTGTCCATATAACGGGAAAACTAATTCACAAATACATAAATAAAAGATTATATTCATTATAAAAAGGAAACATGATGAGTTACAGAAGTATTATGGCGTAATTACTCTCTACTCAGGTGCACTGCAAAAAACCTCCAAGGTTAAAGGGAAAAAAAAAAACATTGATATTTTAACAAGGAGTCGTGAAGAGCAGAAGTGACATAAAAGAGCCTAACCTGCAATGCACAAGAACTGATGCTGATTCCTTAGCAATGCGGGCTGCGATCCAAGCTGAACCAGCCAATACACTTTGAACATGTATCAACCAACCACTATCACCAAGGGTTGACACTGAAGCAGACATGCTGCTGAGATTGCCCCCACCCCAAGTCCAACCACCGTGTCTCTGTCAATTAAAATTAATTTAGTATATCATCTAAAAACTTGAAGTAGTTGATCTTGTTAAAATATTGTTGGAATTCAGATATCAAAGGCCTTAAAATTGTATGATAACCTATAAACACTAAGAAATCACCTAACAGAACAAGTAAATTCAAGTTCAAAAAAACATAAAACAATAACTTAACATAATATAGACATTAGAATAGAATCATTCCCAACAAGCAGAAGAGAAGAAGGCCAAAAATTGAACAAGCGGAAGAGAAGGCCATAAGATAGCTCAAGAACCTATCTCTTAACTAAAACAAATGCGCCTCCTTGTTTATTGCATAAGTATAGAAAAATAGTGCATCATTAGGCCGGAAGGAATCTTTCCAACTCAATACACTAAAGTGTTATTGCAGTTCACCCTAGTCCTGTTTTATTCTTGTAAGAAAAAAAAAAAAAAAA